ATTCTGCTTGAATTTTTTACTAGAAATGTCAGTATCATACAGTACGATAATTTTACCAGAATTTTTTTGTACGTGTAAATATTGCTACTGGGATGTGATGTCATAAAAACTCCAATTTTGTAGTTTTTATACAGACATATAAAGAAAAGTCTTCAAAAATTTTACAAAATATGAAAATAAGATATTTCGTGCTTTGATGAAGGACCCCATAATAAGTGTAATGAGGAACGGCCATTATCCAGCCTTGGTAAATGTAATTTTTCTTAAAAGAATAAAAAAACAACAGCTTAGCACTCTTTCTTTAAAAAGGTTACATTTCTTTGCTCATATTTGAGATAAACAAGACAAAAAATCATGATGAAGGGTAAGATAATATTGCCCTTTGTTTCATTTTTAAAACAAAACGGAAACATTAACGACACTGAAAAGTCGACCTTTTTTATTTTTATTTAAATCACCGAAAAATAGATCGTGTGAGTTTTGCAGACACATTGTTCAGCAAAAATATTATAACTGTCTGATAACAGCAGACAATGTGGCCTACTGAATTTTGCTCATAATTGAATCTAGAAAAGCAATGACCAGAACTCTTACGACGGAACTCAGTCACTGTGTTTCCAGTAAAAAATGGGTTATCCTTTGATTCTAAACGTTCCCTCTATTCTTACAATCCATTAGAATAAATTTGATGGGAGCGGGCGAGGCCGTCAAACGAGATGCTGTCCATTACTAGCCGGACTGTCCAGTTCGTTTCACACGCCTACGACGAAGTTGGCAAGAGAAGAGGGGGTCAGTTCAACGGCTTCCAGAACTGGGTTAGGGTTCAATTCGTGAACGAAGTTACCGTTTGTTTGGCAGCAGATAGGGATGGAACGTGAACTTTTTTAGAGGGGTGGATCCGAATTTACCTCTGACCTGCTATGTTTAAGCGTTATCTTCTCTTCTCATTATAGTTATTTTAATGTCAAAATTCTTTTCATAATGCTGCAATCTGGGGAAGTAAGGGTTAAGAAACGTGCTCGTAATTGCCATTTCTTTCAACTTAATAGCTATTTAAGTTGAGTCGCTAATTAAAGATACATTCTTCTTTTACCGATCCATTAAAATATTTTGTTTTGTAGCGTACGGTATGAAAAGAGTGTATTTATACAAATATATATATATATATAT